AAATAACTTACCCAGCTAGACATTTGAATCCAAATCTGACTCCAGCCAGCGCTTCTCACCCTCATTTTGATGGGGCTGAGTCCTCTCACTGCCCTCCCCTCAGCCTCTACTTTGGCTCTGGTTTTCCTGCTACAAGCCTTCCTATATCCCATCAGTCCTTGGCGGAAAGAACTACAAAATGGCTAGTATTAGAAGTATCCATGAAAAGGGCCTCAGTCTCTTGATGTCTCTGACCCTTTCCAGGCATGTTCTTTCTGTGTTCTGAGTAGGGCTCATGTGGAAGCAGACTCAGAGCTGGAGATCAGCATGCAGGAAGTTTGCTCTTAGGAAGCAGGGTTAAATAGAGGGAATCAAAGCTGAGATGCAGCGTCACTGAAGGCTCAGCCAGCACATAGGAGTGTTCTGGTAATGGGGTGACCCTTACAAACCAAGCCTTGGGTACGGGCTGCTCTGAGAAGGGGCCTAACTTTAGGCAAAGTAGCTTTCCTTGGCCAATGTACTCCCTAAAGGGAGCTGCCGGTTGAAGACTATCTGCTGGGATGCAAGACTGGGGCCTTGATTCCTGAATGGGGACTGTTCTATTTCAGATCCTCATTTTGCTTTGTGTGAGCTACTTCCCCATACATACACACACACACACACACACACCCCACAAATGTGCATAGGTGTATCCTCAGCACTCACCAATTTCTAGAATTTTAAAGGGAGAGATGATACAAAATGTTATGCTATGAAAATTAGGCTGAAGAGACAGTCATATTTGCATTAATTTATTGCCCAGTTTGTTTTGAGTTGTTTTTGAGAAAGGGTCTTGCTATGCTGGCCTCCCAACTCATGGCAATCCTCTGCCTCAGCCTCCCAAGTGCTGGGGTTACAGGTGTGTGCCAGCCACCACTCCTGGCTCATTGCCCAGTTTTAAACGGCCTTCTAGGAAGACCTCTCCATGGGTCCTAATAATCTTTCAAAATTTGCCTTCCTTACTTCTGACTTACCATACATGAGAATACTTACATGTGTCCAAGCTCATGAGATTTTTGGAGACTGCTGGCTCCACAAAGGTAACAGATAACCTGCAGGGCCCCATCGGTTAACACCTTTTCTTTCCCTCCTTAGACTTCCGCTACCTTGGACCCGAGAGACTATATGATACCACATGAAATGTCCAACAGATATAGGTACATTGGTGTGTTCTGGTGGGAATTTAGATATCTGCTTTGGTGCTGGCAAACATTTCCTTTACTCCTAGCATTTATGTCCCAGGATTTTCCACTGTCTGTCCCAGGCACAGTTTCACTTTTCAGGATATATGCTCAGAGATTAAGATTACATCTCAGGCATCCTTCCCAGGTATCCAAGCAAATGGCTGGTAGTTAAGCCCCTGAAGTTTACAGAAAAGGTGAAGCTCAGTTACAAAACTGTTCAAAAGGGAGTTCAATGCTTTGCATTTAAAAATCAACACATGCAAACAAACACCAATTATATTTTCCCCTTAGTAAAGGTTAATTTAGCAACAAACCTACCTATCTTTCAAAGTGTATCTTTGAGGCCCCAAGAACCAGACAGGTTGTTCTCTTTCCTCAATGTCTGGCAAAAATGCTTGGGCCAGAGCAGGTCCTTGATCAGCTTAATGAATAACTGAACACATCTACTACCTTGTGGTAGCAAATAATTTAGGACCTTATGACATAAAGGTAAAGAACATTAGCAGAAGATACATGTCATAGTTTCATACAAAATGTAAGAACAGATAGACGGGAGAAAAATATAGGCATATAGAGATTATCTGCTAGTTTAACATCTTTGATACTTGGAGGGTTTTAATTCTAACTCCTTTCTGTTGTGCACCATAAAAGCATCCTGCATCATTTATGTAATAAGGATTTATTTTATGACACTCATACAATTTACTTTTTTCAGGTACTGTTCTGGACCGTGAACAAATCCTACTGTCGTGGAGTTATATTCTGGTGAATTCACACCACTACCCTAAAAGGCAACTATTCAGTCTCGCTCTCACCAGTACAGAAATGACAATTTTACTCTCATAGTATGCTTGAGACCCCTGCACTGTCCAGTGTTTAAGTAGCATAGGATTTGCACATTACCATCCTACTCTATCTGAAGCTAGCATTTAACATTTATCACTAATACCTGATACTTCACATAAAGTTTTTCCTATCAGCAAAAGGGTAGAGACACACACACACACACACACACAAATGTTGTTTGCAATTCTGAAGACGAACAACTATAAACAAAATATTATGTCCTGATTTTGCATAGCACTAAGTACCATTATGTATTTCAATTAGATTTCACACTTGGCTAATAATAATCAAGGTAGTTTTTTGTTTTTCCTCACATGAACTTCTTTTCCCTAATAAAAGTAGTTCTATGGGCTTATTTGAAATTTGATAAAGTAAAATTTTACTTAAAATATGTCAATTACATGCCAGAACAGAATATTTAGAAATTTTAAAATTAAATGCAACTAAGTTATTTGATAATTTAACTTTCACAGAATAATATATAGGGAAAGTTATTCTGAAAAAGAAATTTCAGGCTCCTTGAATTTTACAGACCTAATCACTTGGGTGCCAGTTAGATGTTAAGAAAATCTATTTAATCCTAAATCCTTTAATAGATTTTTTACAAGTTAGGCCTATTAAACATTTTGAGAACATTTAAATTTTATGCTGAATAAAACTGCATTTAAATAATTAGGGTTCATTAAAATCTTAATTCATTCAACAGAATTGAATGTATTTCACTCAGTCTTCTCTGGGTTTCATCAAGCACTGTGTGTGGTGGAAAGAAAACCAAATTGAGGAGATTCAGGAAACATCTGTTTTGTCATTTAAGGAACTTTAAATATTGGTTTTTTTCATTTGCAAAATGAAAACCTTCCTGTCTCAATAGATCTTTGTAAAGACAGCAAAAATAGGTTAAAGTGCTTTGAAAACTAAGGCAGCAATCTAATTACATGCTGTTTATTACTCAATTATCCCCCTAGCAATGGAGAGAGAACATTAATCATAGGTTTTTCCACCTCAAACTGAAGCGATCACATCCCAACATCCACAAGGAACCTCTCATCAGGTCAGAGCAGAGTGATCCCTGTCTCAGTATTAGGTTGTGCAAAAGCATCTGGATGCTCTTCTGCACCTCCACTCAGGTACTCTTACAAAGGAACATCAGGCTCACTGAGAACCAAAATTCTGCAATTCATACGCAATACTCATTTAGTGTTACTGCTGTGTAACAAATTCATAAAATCAACTCCTAATTTTATGCATCCCATAACAGCTATAACAAACATATCCTGAATCCTCTGATCCCTTTCTGCTCATCACTGTGCTTATGAGTGGTCCTTATCTTTGCTCCACCTTAGGTTTTCACCTGTCTTCTCATGCTTAATCATTTCTATTAAAATTTTGTGCACAACGTGTATTATCACTTCTCTCTCTTGCTCACCCAGGTATCCTTCCTGTTATGCCTTGCTGATCAAATTTCAGAAACTCGACACTTTCTCTTAAGTCATTAGTCACTGTTGGCAATTCCACCATATGCAGCAATTCCATTTTTCTCTCAAAAATATTGTATTTATCTGTACAGGAAAACATTAGTACTTGGGCTAAGCAAGACACAGCCCCTTCCTCTCAAAATCTGACCTCTACTTTGCCATCTAATCCTTTAAGCATCTATCTGTACTTCCAAACTTACTTAGATATCTACTGTCCTTGAAACAGAAATCTTTTATAATCTTCAAAGTAGCCTTCCCTATATTCATGTTTATACTTCAGGTATCCCCCATGCTACCATTAAGTCTCTAAGAAGTGGAGCATTAAATGATCATCTGATGATTAAGGATGGCTGTGTAAGATAATATTGTACTTTAAAAGATGAAACTTTACCACCTGATACAAGCATCAAACTATGAACAATACAATCTCTGGCATTTGTTTTGTAATATGGAGGAGATGGGGCCTGACTGGCCCTGGTCTTAAGCTTAGTTGAGAAATATAGATTAGTTCATTACACTCTTCTATCTACCCATTTTTAAATTCGCCACAACAGAAATGCAATAAGTTTTTTCTCTTCACATGCTACAATCTGAGCTACTCTCACAAGATCTAATACCTGATTACTTTTGCCATTTAAATGGTACTACAAAACTTAATAGCAATATACAGAATCATACTAAATTATTATATGTAAAATAAGTTACCATTTCTTATTTACTATATACTAGGCTACTAAGCATTAAAGTATTCACATAAATTATCTGACTTTCCAAACATAACAGGTAGTTATCACTAAAAGCTCAAAAGAGGTCAAGAAACATGCCCAGCATCATCAAGATGAAAAATAAACATTCTGAATGTTCATTATCTACCTAATATGAAGAAAAACATTATCCCACAAGAACACAAACACAATGCTCACGTACATTTGATGTGCTTCTCTCTCAAATTATAAGCTACTAAGTAGACTTGGTCAAAGGCAAATTTGAAATCAGTTTGTTTTCCTAGTTAATACTTGAACTTAACAAATTTTATTTGCATTCACAATCAAATCAGGTATAGTACTAGTGGACTGTGTACTCACAGTTTATAGCCACAATTTGCAGGGAGGTATCCAAGTTTAAAGGCAGCAGGTTTAGCTTTAAGGCAGAAGTTCAGTGGCCCCCTCAAGATGACCAATAATCATGTACAATTGTATCTGGTCCAAAAGATAATAGTGCCCAGTTCCCTACATATTAGGGTACTAAATCGCAATATCAACAAATTTTAGCAGTTACATACTAGCTTTAAGAAGTTTCGTGCAGCACTGGATTTTAATCCAACAGTTTCTTTAAAATGCCAATACTTGCCTTAATGGAATTAGTGCATTCCTATAAAGTATCACGCTACTAGCTTTAACTCTGTAAAATATTTAAATCCCAGTAAATAAAACTTAGGAATGACTGACTATTCAAGGGGCAAAACAACAAATAATTATTTTTTCAATTTGTGCAACCTGCTGGCTTTGGAACAGTCTGTTTCTTTGGCATGAAAAGTAAACATTAAGACATACAAACATTGCAGTTGTAAATGAACAAATGATGGTACACACTTCTTGGAATACAAATCTCACACTAAATGAAAGCATGTTTACTAAAAACCCTCTACCAAGGGAACCAGAAAGTCTATGGGTGTTAAGATGTAACAAATCCACTCAACAAATGTCTTTATACAATTTAAGTCATGTCCTTTCCCTAGCATATGGTTATTTACACATTGTACATACAAATTCCAGGGAAAATGAGGTGTTAGAAATTAAGATAGATTCATACAGCAAAGAGGTAGTAATAAAAAATCATCAAGGTAAAAAAAGCTTATTTCTTAGCATCTTAAACATATAATTACACTGAGAAATATTTCATTATAATCCCTGGATTATATAAATTTCTAAAGTGGTAGAAGTTAAGTTTTGGCACTGCAGGGGTCCCTGTTATTTCTAGTCCTTTTATGATGGTGAGACACTTGAGTTGCTATCCACAGAACATGTTTTGAACTCCTCACAGGCCAATCCAGGCACCCTTCTGACAGGCGTTTAGCATTCCTAATCTGCCCCTTTTGAAGAATTACAATTTACCAGATGACCAGGTAGGGCCAAGGTTATATTTTCTGGCCATGGAACACAACAGAATTAATCAGGTTTGCTCAGAAACAAAAAAAAATACTTGCCCTTGGCCTCATCAGCATAAGTAATCTTCCAGAATTAAAAAAGAAAGGAAAAAAGGTGTGAAGTACAAATATGACAAACCTCCATATTCCACCTTAGACCACTGGTAAAACAAAAATGCCAGTTTCATTTAGAAGTGAAATGACCTTCAATTCATTTAAAGTGAGAAGAAAAACTACTAGGGGTGCCCATAATATGCATTTTAAATCTAAAATGATGACACTTGAATATGCGCATCTCTGCCACCCAGTGATCTCCCAACAATAAAACTGAAAGGGCTTTTATCTGGCAGCTACAACACAATAGGGGCAGTCTGCTGGCGGGAGACAGGGGCTGGACACTGTATCAATATTAATAGCTCAGCTATACTCTTAGACAGTTTTTGATACCTTTCGTATTTTAATAAATTATGGTGTCTTTAACAAATCCTATATAATCTACTTTCCAGTGTCTAAAGGTATGCTGTCCAATACAGTAATCACTGGTCACATGTGGCTAATCTCAAACCAAAAATTTAGTCCCTCAACCACACTAATCACACTTCAAGGGCTCAGAACTACACGATTAGTGGTAACATAGTGGAGTGCAAAGTGTATCCATCATCATAAAAAGTGCAACTGTGCTGTATGCTCATGAGATGTTTTTAAAAATTCCTCTATTTTACAAATCTTATAAAAAGACCATCACTACACCTCTAGGGTACAAATTAATAGTTAATAAGCTATGAACTAATATTACTAACTTCCTGGATCTTATGTAGACTGAATTGAGGAACACTTTAACATAATTCTACATATAACCCAAGTAAAACATGAACTCAAGATATTTCTACATTACTATGGAGAACACAGCGAATATTTGGTATGCATGATGCAAGTAATTCAGTAATCATATGATTAAAATAGATCCTCTCATCCCTCCACTAATACCCCAAATCTTGGAATATGAAAGCATGCATAATTACTAAGTGCCTCAAAAGAATGAGGCAAGAAGACCTTTAGATAACTCCTCTCAGTATCTTTGCAAAGGGAAAAAAGTTCACTTACACAGGAACTGTGCCAACAAGAAATACTTCAAATCAAAACAACACAACCCAAACCCCCCCCCCAAAACAAAAAAACCTGTCTTACAAATAAACTATGGGACAAGGACTTAAAAACAAAAAAAAAAACAGGGCCGGTGATTTAGCTCAGTGGCACCATGCCACTTGTGGTAGTTCACAAGCACAAGATCGTGAGTTCGATCCCCGGTACCAAAACCAAAAAGCAACCCATTCAGTCTAAACTATGCAAAAATGCTCTCATTTGTACTGATATCTAATATAAAAGTTGACTAACTTTGATTACTTAAAATCAGATTTACTTTGTCAGAACAAAAAGAATAACAACTGTTTATCACTTCTTCAAATAACTCTTGAATAGGAGGCAAGAACTGGGGAACAGAATAGATTGCTTGTTGTTTTTCTGAGTAGGTAAAAGCAAAACAACCCAATCAAAATGCACACAGCTGCATCTCAAAGAAAACTGCAAACACAACTTAACCATACTTTATTTGACTGCAACTTAGACAGCTTGCACATTTCAAACCCACTAAATCTCTCTCCGAAGGGTACGAGACAAGAGGAAAAAACTATGTAGTAATATCCAGTCATCAAACAGCAGTCCAGTATTTTGAAATACACGTGATATTTTATATATTCAACTCATATCTGACGTCAGTATAATTTATGTTTTTACAAACCTGAAAGCCCTGTTAACATTATAGCACTCATTTTGGAGATGTCATGGTGCACTGAAAACTCACTCTGATACACTACCAATTTGATGTTATCTATGCTCCTGGAAAATGATTAATTTCATGATTTTTAGGCACCGTAATAAATATACACATCTAGTCTTACACATGTCAGCTGATACTGTAACACAGGGCAAGGTAACATTAAAACATGACAAACTCCTTTAAAATAGATTTGTCAAGCAAATGGGGAAAATAATTTGGAGAACAGAGGCAGAAAACATTAAAACCAATTTTTTAATAGTAATTTTTTTTCTTTTTATTTTGCTGGCTTCAACTTCAAAAACTAATGTCTGGTTTGATCTGTGAACTTCTCTAAAGTAGTTTCATCCCAATATAGGGAAAAATTATAGTCAGCTCACACATGAAAAATGGTAGTATACCCATTAGCTTCTTCGATACTAACCTATATAGCTTCATGACAGCACGTGTGCAAAGGTTCAGCAATACCACCTGCCAAAGCAGTGTCGCTGAGCAGTGCGGTCACTCTTAGAGAGGCAGCGCCCTGTTCAAAGGAAGCCGCACCAGCTTCACTCCGTTTCAGCCACGTGAACTCACTCTATCAATTACACATGAAATTGTTTTAAGCTGATAATAGGAAAAACTAAAGCCTAAATATATATTAACGTGTGATGCATTTTGACTTGAATGGATACTTTCAATTTTGGTGCTGGATTATCATTGGTAGAGGTTAAACTTTTAGGTAAACGTATTTTTGCACATCCAGTTAAGGGCGTAAGGTGTACACTGATACTCAACATACACCAATAGAACAATATGGCAGTCACTGAGCTTCTAGTCATACAGTAAAGGTTATGTTTACCAATGCTCGGGTTAACAGTTGATCCAGCAATTCTGGGGTTAAGGATCAGTGGTGCTAGTTTGACAACCAGACAAAAACTAAGATGGTTGAACTGATAATCTAGCAGGTATCTGTAACTGTCCCCATTACTGAGTCAAGCAAATGTGTATTCACGATCATTACCTATTAACCAACAAGTCAAATAAAGGTGTGAAATAAATGTGATGACATAAATAACAATGTTTTAGCTAGTTTCCTTCATATTAAAAATAAGAGAAGCATTATAACTGGTATTCTTCTAAATGGTAGAGCCCAGTGAAGTCAGATTAAAAACAGACACAAAACAGTCAGCTGAAAAGCTGAGTACTGTGTGGTCATATTTTTAATAACCAGTATTCTGCCCATTAAATTTTAAAGAGCAATATAAAATGGAAAGAAAAGGTTTTCTTTAAAATAAGGAATTATAAATGATCCCACCACAGCAGGAAGGTTTAATTTTCATCAAATATAAATTGTGTATCTTTATTTTAAAAGTGATGACCATGTTCACTTCCAAAACACTTTACTGAGCAAAGAGCAGCTTTCCTAAAAAAAAACAAAAGCAACAAACTTTCCTGAAAAGGGGCCTTTACCAACTGTTAATGGAGGTAGGGTTTTTTTAAAAATACAGTAATTATAGCCACAAAAAATTCAAACCAAATCCTACAGAAGATGTAAAGCATATTCAAATGCAAACAGCAACAACAACACATTCCTACAAAACTCTTTTCACAGAGAATAGCTCTTTTCTTATGGGTACCTAGGTTTTCCAGTTAAATAAGTTATCCACCATAGGTTTGCTGACTCAAATTTGTTGCACTACATCGATTAACCAAAATACAATGTAATTATTAAACATGGTGGCTGAAAACCCAAAGAACTCATTAAAAAGATTTTCCTTTATCCCTTGTTTTTCTGGAGGAACAAGGCAAAGCTCTCCCCAAGAATCTGTTCAGACAAGTGAAAAGAAAATAAAAGCAGCTTAAAAGGATACAATGCACCTTGAAATTTATTTTGAAGACCATGAACTTTTTAGTGAAGCATTTCAAGAAATGGAAGCAATGTGAATCCAAATCAAGTGGGGAAAATACTTCTAGCTACTTTATAAAAGCTGTTGCAATAATTTTGATTAAATAAAATCATACCAATTTACATTAGTTTTCTATTCTTTTTCGAAAGTTTCCTCGCTCTCAAAAAAAAAAAAAGTGCATCCAAAACCCAGCAATTCCCAGATCCATCAACCTTTCTCATCCCTCTTGAGGCATTCCTCAAAGATTTTCCACACAGATTCAACTTCCTACTGTAAGGAAAAAAGGGGCTTCTAAGGTGAATCACTGTCACCTGGAAATAGTATCCAAATTATAAAAATCTGAAATAGTTTATTATGAAATTTAGAATTTAAATAAAAACAAAATTTGCTTGCAAAGGCCATAAAGAAAAAAGACAGCATGCATTCAAAAACTAGAGATGAAGACAAATATACTTATCTACACAGGCACTGGCAGACGCAGTTTAATTATCTTTACTCACTGTAAGACATACCCCACCCTACATTTTTTTCATTCCCTAATCACTGAGGTACCAAAATTTAAGAATGGAAAATTTAATATTGAAAAAATAAAACCTATAATTGAAACTTTTCCCTCAACACTTTCAGAAAACTATGGCAGGTTTTGTGTGAAATGTTAGTATACTCAGAGACTTTTACAATCTACATTGGCTTTTTAAAGGAACAATTATGTTCCACTTACTGGTTCTGTGATAAATGGTCACTATGTAAGTAACATTGTCAGCAGACTGCAAATGAACAATTCTTGGCTATCAACTGGCACATCTTGTTGGTACCAAAAGAACTCCTGAAGTTTAAAACAATCTTTTTAAATTCAGAACAAATGCGCCATGCCAAAGTGCAACAAATATTGTGCGACACTCAATGAGCCACTGACAGGTAAGAGCTGCATGGGAATTACTAAATCCACCTGCAAAGCAATTCTGTGCAAATTGCATTGCATGCAAAGGTCGACTCCGTGTGGTTGAAGTTGTTCCTCAACGTCAGTTTCTCAACGCAGCCACAGTTTGAGTCGCAGTGCATCAACTCCATTTAAATAGTATCTGAACAGCCTCTTGTCTCGAACAAGACCAAGATGTTCATAAAGGTTCAAAGCAGACTTATTTGTTATTTCGGTTTCCAAAACAACCTTCAAGGAAAAAGAAAACTGAGTTATAATTTCTAATTTGAAAAGCTTAGAGAATACATAATCAGATCAAATATCTAAGAAAAACATGCTACATTGATTTGTTTAAATAATGATGGTGAAAACAATACTAATGGTCATAGTAATTATCTTTGGGTCAAAATGGGGTGGGATCTCCAGAGACTGACTTTCTGATGTTTAGAATTTTAAACAATAATGTATATTTTACAGTAAAACAAAGATAATTATTTCCCTGTGGAGGAAAACTAGGTGGCAAAAGAAAAAGAAAAACAAACATTTAACAAGTAAAGCAGTATTGCAACTATTCAAACTGACCTCCAATTCATGTATTTTCATTAATGTTATCATTTATCTTGACAACAACTCTCCAATTTGTCTAGCGTATAACCAGTTTGGAAACTATAGACCTTGAGCCAAAGTTGCCTGCTGCCTGCTTTTGTAAATAAAGTTTTACTGGAATAGTCACACACATTTGTTTACATGTCTATGGCTTCTTTTTGATACAGGGTAGAATTGAGCAGTTACCAGATACCTATGGTCTATACAGGCTAAAATATTTTACCATCTGGCCTTTTGCAGAGAAAGACTAACAGAGAACATCTGGATTTCAAGTATAGTGGTACCTCAGTTCACAAACTTAATTCTTTCCAGAATTAAAGAACCAAATCAAATTTCCCCCTAAGGTCAACGCTGAACCTAACCAGTGAATCTGATTCGTTTCAAGACCAATTCAGTTTGCTACCAGAATCATAGAAGGAATCAAGGCATCGAGGTCATGCTTGTTGCTGCTGGCTGAGGGACTATAATTTCAGAGCTACTAGCCTAGACATTTGGGATATCAAAACTTAATAGAGGAATGCAGGATTAATTTCCATGAGTCTTTTTGAATATTACTGTACTGGTGGCCATGAAAATGAAAAACTGATACTTTTCTTTTCTTTTTTTTTTGAGACAGAGTCTCACTTTGTAGTTCAGACTGGCTTTGGACTATGTAGCCCAGGCTAGCCTCAAACTCATGGTAATCCTCCTGCCTCAGCCTCCCAAGTACTGGGATCACAGACATGACTACACCTAGCAAAACTGATACTCCTGAACACTGTGTTTTTCATATTTCTACTTCCCTGTATCAAAACTCTTAACCCCATCATCCCAAAATGGCAAAGTACAACTGAACAAAGCCCCAAGTAAAGTATATGAGGCTCTCCCAGTTCTATCTCAAGCTATCAAAGTCTGACAAGAATTCAAACAACAGATGTAAACAGAAAAAAAGACACTACCTCAACTTATCATATCTTCCTGGTATGCTCTTTCTCCACAATTCTTAAGTCCATGAGCAAGATTTCCACCCCACCACAACAATGCCTCAAAGTCTAAATCTTGGGATCACCTTGAACTCTTTGCTCTCTACCCAGTTACATATATCGAAGCTCTAACTACTGCTAACACTTCTTGAGTTATCTTTCACACCGGCTCTCTTGGTTCTACCCTCATTAATACCGTCCCAGTCTACGCTGCCACTTACTCTCACTGTAGTCACGAGAGCTTGCTAACACAAGACTCCCATTTTCTACAAGGAGACTGATGCTTGTTATTCCCTGCTAAAATATTTACTCTTTTGTCATCAAGGTAAAGCCCAAGATTTTAAAAAGTCTATAGAGACCTGAAAGACTCATCAGTCTTTCAGGCTTCTACCCACATCTCTTCTTTGTTTTCATTCCTTAGTTTTTTCATAAAAAGTGCTTTGTCTAGAAAGGTATTCTTCCTGTACTTCTCACTTAGCTTGCTGCTTCCAGATTAGGTGGAATATTCCTTTCCTTTTATACTACCTCACAGCACTCTGCACTACTCCTCTGAAATATCTAATGACCAATGAGTGTATCAGCCCTCCTAGATGGGGAGGCCAACACAACAGAGTCCAATACCTCCTTCACGGCTATATTCTCCATGCCTACCATACTGCCCAACACTCAGAAAGTTCTTAAATACTAGCTAATTCAATGTGTCCTCAGCACCCTTCATTGGATGACATACATTACATAAACATTAAACAAAGTGTTTCCATACTTTTCAACAGCCAGAGTACATGAAGTATCATCTAAAAGCAATCATCTATGCAATTAACTCCTAAAAGCAAATCTCATGCTAAACCTAAGGCTGTAAAAGATCTAAAATCAAGTAACTGATAGTTTAAGATCAACTGGGAATAGTGACACACACTTGTAATCTCAGTATCTGAGAGGCTAAGGCAGGAGAATCACAATTTGGAGCCCAGCCTGGGCAACTTTGCAACTTGGCGAGATCCTCTCTCAAAATAAATATTAAAAAGGGGGTTGGGGGGATATAGCTCATTCACAAAGTTCTGGATTCAACATCTAGTATTGCCAAAAAACTAAACCAAAATACCAAAAAAAAAAAGTTCAGGATCAAGTAAAATACTCCCAGAAAGACTTTAAATAAAAGCTATAGTTGGGGATGGTGGTGCACACCTCCAATCCCAGCACTCAGGACGCTGAGGCAGGAAGATCTCTGAGTCTGAGCCTGGCTTGGGCTACAGAGTGAGTTCAAAGCCAGCCTGGACTACATAGCGAGACCCTATCTTAACAAAATATAAAAGCTATGCAACCAACAAGTTGTTTAAGAATTAAAATTCAGTTTCTCTATGACCTTAAAATAATTCTATTTTTAGTAATGCATGCCATGCTACAGTCTGGAACATTTCAGTCTAATATAAGTTCATGCTATAGTCTGTAACATTTCAGTCTAATATAAATTTTTAGTTTTAAACAATTTTGGGGGGTAATTCCTGGAATTCTGTTATTAGGTCAGCACCTAACAGTTAAAATGTTAAATCAAGGCAATTTAACAACACAGTAAAGCTGAAACAATGCAAAACTTGTGACTGATTTCATAGAAATAAAAAGGAGACTGACAATTGGTGGTGGTGGGGGGGTACCAGGGATTGAACTCAGGACCTTGCACTTGCCAGGCAGGTGCTGTGTCCCTGAGCTAAATCCCCAACCTGAGACAGACAATTTCTAAAATGATAGCCAATATTTACTAAAGTTGTACTATGTATGCTGTTACTGTATTTCCACAGCAAATTTAAGAAATAGATACGGGTATTTCCATTTCACAGATGAATGAAACTTAAGGTGACCAGTAGAGTTCAAACATGAACTCAGGCCTAGTAGTAACCACTCTTCTATACCTCCCTGACTATCTTCCAGAGCAAAACAAAGCAGCAAATGGGAGAGCTAACCTACCTAGGAAAAGATGAAGGGGATCTGAGTCCAACTTCATTAATATTTAGCAATCTAAAATATTCACAACACATTTAAGGCTAATTACAGCTATGCAAACACAGTACTGAAATGTGGTGGAATTCTAGTCCATAAGCATCCTAACAGATGAATAAACAACAGTTATAACAGAAAAAAATTACACAAAGGGTTACTCTAATTTAAATGTAAAGATCCTTTTGGCACATTCACATTTTCTAAATAAAAAGATAAAACAAACAAACAAACAAGAGGGCCTGGGGATTTAGCTCAGTGGCAATGCACCTTCCTTGCACGCTCAAGGTCCTGAGTTTGATCCCTGGTACCACAAAACAAAAACAAAAAACAAAGAGGGGCTGAGATTTAGCTCAGTGGCAACACACCTGCCTCGCAAGTGCAAGGTCCTGTGTTTGATCTCCGGTACCGGAAAAAAGAAAAATCAATCAATCAATCAATCAAACATTACTTGATACAGTAGAAAATGCCAGAGGAAATAAAAGCAACTACTTTTTAATGCTTAAGCAATTAAATTCTTTTATTATAGCAAAATCTGGGTTTATACTCAAAGTACACTACAAAGCTGCTCTTTTACTCCCCATTATTATATAGGAAGCAAAGGATAAATGAGGTTTTATTGGTCCTAAAGAAAACTGACAAAGTTGAATTCTATTTAACAGAGTCAGAGTTAGAGTGATATTCCTCTGATTCTCTTAGCAACAAGCTATTATTCAGGATAAACCAAACCATTACAATTTAGACAGCATTTCTGAATACTTAAACTGGGAAGCCCTTTAAAGAACAGGCCTGCCCACAGAACCTAACCACTCACATATTGTCCAGCACCTAGCAGAACTTCTTTCCACTGTTTTCTGCTGAATAAACAACTAATTTTTTACCGGCCTTTACAACAGAATTAACACCAAACTGCACAGACTAAGAGATAGCCTAGAAAAAGTAAATGATTTACCTGTAATCAACTACCTTGCAGCCTCTATGACATTACCAAAATGTGTTTCTACTGAAATTAAAAAATAATAAACACATAAATATAATAAGCACATATAATTAAAAAGCTACAAGGGGCCGGGGGTGTAGCTCAGTGGCACCACACCTGCCTTCCACAAGCCAAGGTCCTGAGTTGGATCTCCGGTACAAAAACAAACAAACAAAAAAAGTTACAAAGTCATCTTTCACCTTATGGAGGAAAAGGAGAATGACTGAATCTTTCTATCCTTATCTATATATATTTTAACCAAAAATAACTTAGCTCTCTTTGGTTACCAATAATATAATCTAGTTTAGTTATTATTGCTAATAATGATCTATTTTATTCTTTGAATAGTACAATATATGGTAGACTATTACTTTTATGTCTAGAATACACCCAAATGTCTTGTGCATTACTTGTATACTGCTAGAAATAAGCAGCATTAAATTAAACAAATTAGGCTGTTGGGAAAGCAAATTGTAAGCAGTGTAACAGGTCACAGAGCATAATATTTATACAGGAGACACTGTCTTTTAAAACTTGATGTATGAGCTGGTACGCAGGCCAATGCCTGACCCCCAACACTCAGGAGGCTGTGGCAAGAGGACTAAGGGCCCAAAGTCAGTCTGGGCTACACAGCAAATTCAAGGCCAGCCGAGACAACATAGTGAGACCTTGTCTCAAACAAAAATAAAACCACAACAGTAACAGTAACAAAAGCAAATATTAAACACACACATCAAAAACAAAACACAAAAAAAGGGCAGAACACCAAAATATTTACGCTAGAAAAGTGGCAGATTTTCTTGTTTCTATTTTCCACGTTTTCTGCAATGTTTATTATGGCTTCTCAAAAAGAGAAATGTTTTTATTCTAAATCGACAAAAATTAAGAGCTACATCAGTAATACAGCACTTGCCTGGCATGCAGATGGCCCCAGGTTCAATCTCAGTACTACACTAACTAAATAAATAATGACATTTTCAACTGAAAATGTTTCTAAGTCTATGTTGCATCTTTAAATTCCATTAAGAAATTCTGATTCCATTATGATCATAAGTAGCTCTGAATATTAAAATAATGGTAAACATACCTTAAATCTTTAAAAAATAGCCTTGAAATATTCAAATTTTCATAAAGATTTAAGGTCATCTACAACTTAAAAAGCAAAGCCCTGTTAATCATGCTGATCAATCACCTGTCAATATTCTAATTTATTTCAAGAGAAAGTACATAAAAATCAATGGCTACTACATGGTTTATTATTTCAGGTATACACATTCTACTTTAAAACTTACACTCTAGAAACTCATTCAAATTATCTGCATTTACTTATTCTTTCTCCTAAGTGAAAGAAACACAAACCTGAGATACCTGTCTCAGCCACTACACATCCAGCAGCCAGAGTATGGAGGGGATGGCAAAGTTAAGTCAGATCAGCGTATGGACAAATGCACTACTTATGCATGAAGTAATGAATTCACTTGCTTTTTTTTTTAATGCTATAATTTTCTGATCAGGGCCAAATATAAAGAAAATTTAAAAAATCTTCAGGTATGCTGTTTTAACAAGTCTAATTCTGACATAAAAAGCTGGCAAAAATCACAGTAAGGCAAAATGAAAATATCTATTAGACCAGGACTTTATTTGGGCAAAAAAATGATCTACATTTCAACTCTCTGGCTACTAATTTTGCCTTATTTATTCTGAAGTTAAAATATCTAGTGACAACCAAGACAACATAAACACAACTCAAAGTCACAAATTGGTAAACAACACAAAGTGAAAATTGATAGGATGTACGTGTATCTCTAATAGGTCCACAGACTTAAAAATCTAAAACAAACAAACAAACAAAAAATACCAGTATCTTTGTACAAATTTTTAAAACAATAGCACAATGGAAACAATAGAAAATGTTATTTTAAAACCCTTCTTAGAGTTAGGGATGTAGTTCATTGGTACAGCAGCATGCACAAGGCCCTGGGTTCAATCCCCAGTACCCTCTTCTCCCAATCAAATGTCTTTCTGATAGGTTTTCTGATACTCTGTCAACATTTTTTGAGCCTTTAAAAGAAATATGGCCTAATTTAATGCAACTTAAATCACATGTTTAATGTTTTATAATTGGTCACAATATTCTTAAGAGAATTATATTTTCCTCAGAACAGTGCATTATAAACAAAGACCATTTTCAAAAATAATTTTTTTTAACCAAACTGCATTTTAACAATTTAGTAGCTAGGTGTAGTGGCACACGGCTGTAATCCCAGCACTTGGAAGGCTGAGGCAAGAGGATTTCCATGGGTTCAAGGCCAGCTTGGGCTACACAGTGAGTTCAAGGCCAGCCTGAACTACATAGTGAGACCCTGTCTACAAAAAAAAAAAAAAGTTAACCCTGCAAATTCCTTTTGCTTTTAAAATCTTATGTACTGTGTACAGTGTACAAAAATAAGGCTACTGCTGTTCTTAGAAGGCTTATGGAAAGTGCAAAAAAAAATTACACAAGTCAAAAATTCAAAGTGCTTCTTTAAAGAGGTACAAACAATACGCTAGCAACACAGTTAATTATTCAAATATTTCTAAACCCTGTACCACAGTAAGTGCTAAGAATATAGCAATGAACAAGATAAGGCATCTTTCTCCTATATAATGATTGAGGCACAAGCACTGAAAGTGCAGTATTACAAAAAAAAGAGTCAGGAAAAACAAGGAAGGGGCAATTGATTCTGTCCAGAACAATCAGAGAAAACTTGGTATTGCTGTTGATATTGAATTGGGTCTTAAGACTGACAAATATTTTAATAAGCAGAGAAGAACCACGAAGCTACTAGGTCTAGCAAATCCATCAGTAAATAAAGTTTAAACCCTAGTGGAGGGGCAGAAACCAAACAAAATGGGATGAAATTTAATAAAGGAAGAAACAGAAGAGAGGGAAGGGGGAAAAAATAAGAATCAAGATATATTATGTAAAGGTACAAATCTCCAATGATGAATGCCATTATACTGCATACCTAAAATGTCCCAATGAAATTAATTTTAAAAAAAGGAAAAAGCAACATACTATTATCAAAAAAAGAGAGAAGGATTTGTTGCTCATACAATTTAAAACTGAAAGACTTGGGGGAAAAGCTCTGTCCCGTCATACAGCAAATAATTTATCTGGACAATGTGGGACACAGATAAGCCTTTTTTTGTTTTTTTCAAATCATGGAACACTTCTCTAATCCAGAGGTAGACACACTCAACCTGTAGGAAAAATCCACCTAAAAATCATGAAAAAACTCATGGAGCTATCATCTCTATTTTAGCCTAAGACTTTCAGGCCCACAATTAAAAACCATTTCTACTCTAAAGTGTATCACTAATTTAGGATTTTCTCTTAATATTAAAAAAGTACCATCAAAATCCACATATCATTTCTTCAAAGTTTCAAAAACCAACAGTATTTAAACACTTGATCAGTTAATTTAAAACACACAGCTTGCCTCACAGGTAGTAACAGGGATAACTCATAAAAAGGCTTAACCACAAGAACAAAATATCCCCTGCCCTCAATATCCATGTTCATCACAAACAGCTCTACTCCACAGTAGTAGAAGAGCAAACATGGTCTGTGAATCTCAAGATTTTTTTCCAAACTGTTAAGCAACTTTTATGAAACCTGACTTCTCATTTTGATGAGCTGACTAAGCCAGTATGGCTATGGTTCAAACCTAGAGTCTCATACTCCTGAACTTATCCAGTCCAATTAAGTTAAATTTAGTTACTAGCCATATAAATGACCTGTGTTTCGGCATCTTTTACTTTCAGATACTAAAGGCTATAAACAACGCAAGTTCCTTCACCACCTGTGAATTATCCTTTCTGAGTAAAATTACATACCTTTAAATCCTAGGATGACTTCACTGTACTACCCAATATGTCTATAGGGCTCCTCTCACATAACCACAATTTACAGTTATTTGTTAGAATATAAACTAAAGTGAAAAGAACATGAAAATAAAAATTCTGGGTCTGGCGTGGTGGTGCACACCTATAAACCCAGAACTCGAAAGACTGAGGAAGGAGGATCACCATGAGATCGAGGCCAGCCTGGGATATACAGTGAGTTCAAGGCCAGCCTGAACTGCATAGCAAGACCCTGTAACAAAAAACAACAAAAACCAAAATAAAACCTAAAAAAACAAAATAAATATTCTGCAGTCTTTGGATTTTTAAACATAGAAATGCATTGAGATACTATTAAATAAAAACCAGTATTAATTCAGGATGATTTCATTTGTATAAAAAAATTACGTGTTTGCTTAGAAAATGGAAGGATGCATATTAGCTAGGGGTGGAAAGGAGGATAGAGTTGAAGGACATAAAGGTGGTGGAGGCAGCAGGGCATGGTGTCACACTCCTGTAATCCCAAACATCTGGGAGACTGAAACAGGAGAATCCCAAGTTTGAACCCAGCTTGGCTGACTTAATGAGATCCTGTCTCAAAAGAAAAAAAAGGGAGTGGGAGGTGGGGATGTAGCTCAGTGCAAAGGCCCTAGCTTCACTCCCAAAACACAAATACCAAAAAACAAAACACACACACACACACACACACACTTAATGACTATGTATACCTTTCATACCTCAAAACCCCACTTTTTAAAAAAATCACCAAAACAAGTTATTAAGGCCAATCTGTTGGAAAAAATTACTTTCATGTATCTGGGAACTCTCTAAGACACATGTGCTTTCCAATAATAAACATAACTGTCACTTGTATTACTGTACACATAAAATTACTAATACAACTTTGCTCTTCCTTGGTCACCACTGTCATAGTAAAGACATCTGTACTCCTCTAATTTATACTCATTCCCTCCACACTGTTCAAAAGTAAACGTCAACATTCTGAATCATCACCAGTATTTACTCAGCACCATAGGAAAAGGACAGTGCTGTAGGATATAGTTATAGGTGCAATCAGGCCTTAGGAGCTAAAAAGGTGGTCTTCCATTAATATTAAGAAGTCTTTACATTTAAAAGTCACTGACAGCCTTAATATTATTTAAAGCTCAGAGAACTTTCTCAATCATAAAATATCCTCCTTGTAAGCTGACAGTTTTACCAAGATTTAAGGGAGGGAGGGACACTAAGGCCAATATATAAGCAAATAATATATGGGTTTGTAATAAAAGCTACCTTACTTAAATGACTTAACTGATAACAAAGCTTGTGAATAACAATTATTTACTGAAAATGCTTAAGATTTCACCTTCACATTTGAAGAAATTTTACCTCTATTATCTTAAAATTTATTCTAAGTCAAAATTCGTGTGTGTGCTTGTGTGCATGTGTGTTTTGGAGGAGTGATGATGCTGGGGAATAAACTCACACTATGCAAGCCCTCTACACTGAGCTATATCCCTGTCTTTTTATTTTAAAAATTTATTTTGTTACAGTGAATCACTAAGTTGCCCAGACTGGCCTTGAACTTGTGACCTCCTGCCTCAATCTTCTGAATAGCTGGGATTTCAGACAGATGCCATAGTGCCAGGCTCAAAATTCATGTATTTTTAAATAAAATAAAATTTTCTTCACAAGCTGTATTTGTATAACAAATCTGCAATGAAATCTGCAGCACAAACATTAGAAAATATTTATAAAAATTCTCAGTAGAATATACTGCCCAGGATAAAAGTATTAAACATTTAAAAGACTTACCTCATCACAGTCTCCTTCAACCATAGCATATATAGCTTTCTTAACCAAGTTAGTACCTAGAATAATAGATCTGAGTATTATTGAACAAAAAACAAAATTAGTTCCTTAATGAACCTAAATTATAAAATTCATAATAAACACAGAAATGTCTGTTAGGTTCTATCTTGGATGCAATTACTCTGATATCTTAAGTGAGAAAAAAAAAACTAGACAAACTGAGAACTTTCTCTTAAGTAAAATTATCTGCTCTAAATAGGAGTTTGTTTTTGTTGTTTTTCTACTTAAAGACAGAAGGAAAGGAAAAAGGGAAAAGGCAAATAATGGTATGGTCAGAACAACCTAGAACTCTTTAAGCTAACCAGAACTTACTACATAATCTGTGCTTATCTTAGCAAAGATCTTTGCAACTCCTGGACACAAACCACAAAGACAGCCTCCTAAGAACTGCTATGCCTGCAGGTGAGCCAAGACACTCAGTTGGCTCCTACCACCTCACAGTAGGCCTGGGTACAATGAAGTGTGGTGCTCTGAGTGACGTCAGAGGTATGTATGTACATATCTACGAAAATTTATCCTAAATTGGGGTCAGCTATATCTGATACTATATATTAAGAGGAAAAATATTGCCAAATCTGGTTTTTAAAGATTTATTTTAACCTAAACATTTCTTATTTTGAAACTGCCCATGCATTTCATGAGTCCTACAAAATATGTCTGAAGGCCGGGATACAACACTAAAGTCACTAGGTTTGTGCACTGTGAACTAGCCAAGCTGCCTATCATTTTTAGTGAGTCTTTTATCAGTTCTTTTCAATGCATCAAAGATTCATACTTGGTCTGGAAAATAATCCCAATTCATTAAAAATCTTAGTAGAAAGCTGAAACACTCTTTATAGATTTCTTAGAAGTCAGTTAAACCTAACATAATGGGCCAGGCACCGTGGCCAGGCACATGCCTATAGTCCAAGCTACTTGGGAAGCTGAGGCAGGAGGATCACTTGTGCACAGGAGTTCCCAGCCAGCTTAGGCAACACAGTGAGATTCTGCCACAAAAAAAAAAAAAAAGGGAAAACCTAGCTTACTAATTAAATCTATTTATGATTTCTCATGACATCAAAGACTGTGCAAAATTGTCTGTTAGACAGTAACATTCAAACTTAGTTTTAAAAAAAAACTATATATTATGCAACTGCTAATAACTGAATATTAGTATTGGAATCAAATACTTCATGAATACTTAACTAAGCTCAAGCACGTCCCAGAGTTTGACGTGCTTAGCCAAGTGTTTGCCCATCTGATCCTCCACCGTGAAAAGATCCAATAGGTCCTAAACAATACAACAGTGGTCCTAACCAGGCTTTCACCAGTTACCTGGAGAAGCTTTAGTTCTAGGGTTAACAGGGTAAACACAAGTCAGGGGCAGAGAGGGGCCCTAAACATGTGCTATTAAACCACCCATGGATTCTAACAACCATTATAAACCACGAGTGCAAGATTGCCTAGATATGCCAGAAAAGGTCGATACAAGAGTTAGGGAACAGTGACAAACAATCAATTCTCCTCCCGGAGGCCTCCTTTGAATTGCAACATGACGTTTGATGATTAGTACTAATTAATGGCAATAATTATTCTAACTTTTGCTTGGTTGTGGTCCACTTAACCCAAGGATAGAAAGCTGTTTGAAAGCTGGAATCAAGTGCCCTCCTAATGCTATTAAAAACTGCAGTACTTCTTACAGTAGATAGTATGACTGAAAAGAAATATGTAAAATGTTTAGAGGTAAAAGCTGATCACCTCCTACTTGTTAAAAAGATAATCTCCAAAACTTTAATGAAGGGAAGGAGATGAAAAAAAGATAAAGATGTGTTATATTCATGTGCCACAAACCACAAACATGTACTAAAATAGATCTAAACTAAATAAAAAATTAATAAAGAAAATAATGCCTTTTAAGAACTTTTAAAAACAAAAACCTTAATTTTCTGTTTTACCTTCAAGTTCATTTCTACATATTTACATGTAAGTTTGTTTCAAAACGCAAAACTGGAAATAACTTATTTATCCATTTAATGAAGTAATATTTTTCTTACCAATGCCATTTCTCCTGTATTTGGAATCCACGGCTAACATGGCTATATAACCTCGGCGGAACATCTTTTTGTGCATATCCAACTTGCAAACGATGGCACCTACACATTCCTCCCCTACCATGGCCTTAAAAATAAACAAACAGTTATGAAAAATACACTGAACAATTACCCAAGGAAAACAGCAACCAACCATTGGTCAACACTTCTGACAGAAGAGAATAAAAAGCTAGCAAGAGAGCAATCACTTTTCAGAAATCTAATCCCTAATTTCTTCAAATGTTCCAATTTTTAAAACCTCTATTCTTTAGAACACAAATTTCTTATGCTTATTAAAGCTTAGGGGAAAAAGACAGTATTTCCACGTGGTAAGTATTCAAGTACTTTATACACAAGGTGCTTATAATTACATTTATTTGCAATAAAGACCTACTTAAGTTTGGGAAGGGGAAATACATGAAAAAAAATTACTTTAAACACAAAATCCTGTCCTGCTTGGTGGCACAAGCCCATATTCCAGCACTCAGAGGTTGAGGCAAGCAGACCGCCACAAGTTTGAGGCCTGCCTAGGCTAATCAGTACAAGGCCAGCCTGAACAACAAAATGAGACCTTGTCTCAAAAAGCAACTGCCCCCCACCAAAAACCCTATTCATTAGGATATATTATTATACAATTTGCCCATAAGCAGAGTATAAATTTTTATGATAAGCTTTAATAAAAGATAAGTGTAAGATACGATGTACCTGCATGATAGATTTTAATTAGGAAAAAAAGCACATAAAAAGTTGAGGAAAAGGATCATTTATAAGTTATTGCTTAAATTACATTCAAGAGATTTTGTCAGCTGAGCCTGGTTGTGTTGCTTATAATCCCAGCATTCTGGGGCATGAGACAGAAAGATCACAAGTTTGAGCCCAGGCTGGGTAACTCAGCAATGAGTTAAGTAAGTGAGACCCTGCCTCAAAATTTTAAAAAGTAAGTTTAAAAATGGGTGGGGAAACAGCTCAGTGTAAAGGCTCTGAGTTCAATCCCCAATAAAGCACCCCCCCAAAAAAGTTTTTGTTATTGAAGTAATACCAAAACTAAACATACTGTGATCTCATTTTTTAGGATACTGTTGACAGAGGAGGTCATGTCATAAGCTCTCAGGACATTATAGCTCAAAATCAGAGCTTTTATATAATGTTATTATTTCCTTGGCTTTCTATTTTAATACAAATGTCAGCTTTCCAAATCATTAAAGGCTACATCTTAAATACATGCTAATAATTCCTCATATTCCTTTAAATCTCCAGTGTCACCATTGCAAGTGGTTTTCAAAAATTCCAACACTGCAAAAAATTTATCCAACAGTATTCTGACAGATAAAAATAGGGTAGTATCTTAATTTAATGTGTTAGCAAAAGCAGCAGTTCTTGTTTATAACTTTCCTCTTTTTTCCTCTATTTCGAAAACAACAAAATCAGGAATGGGTTAAAAAAAAATAGTAACCAAAGTACAACTTTTGCCTAACAAATATTGTAACCTGAATTTGTTGTAACAGTTTTTAGTCTGTAATTCCATAAGTTGAACTTTTTAAAAAAATAAACCGTGGAATCTTTTTAGATAAGATAATTCTATTTCACACAAACCTAAACTGGGTCAAAAATCCTTTTGAAGGAATATTGAATTCATCAAACTATACAGTTATTTGTTATCACACATTCCAAACTTATGTCAAGAAACCTCTAAAACTGTTATTCCCATTTTTAAATCACAGTAAATCAATCTACTTTCTTTTAAAAATTAAAATTCCTTTCCATGTTAAGATGTGAAATACACAAAAAAGATGCTGGACTGAGCAACTATTGACAGTGTCTTTTTTCCCTTCTTTTTAGCACTGGGGATTAAATCCAGAGCCTTAAGCACAGAAGCCAAGCATTGTACCTTTTGACAGAATTTTCTGATTTGAAAATAACTCACTTCAAATATATATCTATGAGTGTCTACATACACATTTACATATATGTGTATACAGATGCAAAATCACCACAAAGAGAAAAAAATTTTGACCTGATCTCATAAGCTAGGCTCACGCGGAATGGAAATCTATGTAAGTGTGTGATACAAATCTACAAGACAGCTACCTTACAGCTACCTTAATTAATAAAGCCATCCAAAAAAGAAAAAAAAAAAATAAAACCACTAAAAACTAGATAACACTTTCAAATTAGACAGGAATTTTTTAAAAAATCTTTGTTCTTTGACCATGCAGTAAAAAGTAAATAAAATGTTAGTTCATTCTTAAGCATAGACTGCTTTCCTAATTAAGAACCTAGAGGAGCAAAAAATGAAGTTGTACACATCTAAAAATAAAAACCCAATACATGATACACTATTAATAAAATGTTAGTAAAGAAGACTAATACTTAATTTTCTTCTGATAAAAGGCTGACAAATGTACATTTACAACTATCACTTAAGTGCTTGTAGAGTTTTGTAAATAAAAACTTTAGCACATTATTTTTGAAACTCATGCTATTAAATGCTTTTTTCTCCAAACACATTTGAAAGAAATCTCTGGAAGGTTAAGACTTAACTCTACAAGGTCACAGGATTCTCAGACAAAAAATGATAAAAAAAATATAAACTGTGTGAAACAGAGATTCCAAAATTCAAGAACACTACAAATAGAAAACTGAAGGAAACCAGAAATTTAGAATAAACGTTAAGTTCCGTTATACTGCTAGAAAATTTAAGAACTTCTAAAACTGAAAATACTATAAACTCTAAAGAGATAATGTACAAAGTAAATGACAGTGCTTCACATATGTACTGTCATCTACTTTTTACACCTGTTACATTATTAGGAAGAATTATAACAGACAGTTTTATTAATCAAGTACCAGCAATTTTGTAATAAATTCCATTTGACCCATTACAGCTTCCAAATGGAAACTAGCAACATGTTGGAGGATTCTTATCTTTTGAGACTCATGTTTACATGGCCAACTGCCTCTTGAGTAAGGTAATTTTGTGACACAATTTATGAGTTTCACAAAATGGGTCAAGGTTATATTATTTTTCAGGTTTTTACTTGTTACTATGAGGCCAAGAGAACTGGATTCTACCTTTATTCTCTGCCACTAAATATGTGGATATTTAAATATTTTCAGTCACTCTGGTTTTCATTTTTTTGCATGTGGGTGTGTGTGTAGGGGTTGAGCCTATATTATCTATAGGAGCCCTTCAAACATGACTTAAAGCCCAGGCAGGGGATTTAGCTCAGTGGTGCTGCGCCTGCCTTGCAAATGGAAGGTCCTGAGTTCAATCCCCAGTACCAGGGGGAAACAACATGACTTAAAGCAAACATATACACTGACACTTTAAAAAACTGAATTCTTACACAAATTCAAATTTAAAAGCATGTTAACATGAAGGCCTTTAAATGGCCTCTGGTGGTTAACTACTATTTTATTGTTCAAGATCTCCAGATTCACACTTGCACTAGTAAATCAATTTTTTTTTTTTTTTTTTGGTACCGGGGATTGAACTCCGGTCCTTGGGCTTTTGGGGCAGGCGGCAGAACCACTGAGCTAAATCCCGGGCCCATAAATCTTGTAGACCATCCACTTGTGCATATCTCAATTTCTAGATACTGAGCTTAATGTTAAACTTGGACTATTAAAGGATAAAGTACAAATTAACTGGCAAATTCAGAGGGTTTATATAAAATCAAGACTATAGTTTACTAATAGTAAGCTTACCAGAGTCTAAAATGGCAGAGAATTCGAGTGAGACCTAGGTAACATCAGGACTCAAAAGTTGACTATCATATATACAATACTACCTTGTGGGATTGATAGAAATTAACTTACAATTAACCTACATTTTTTAGCAATTACAATGGCATTTGATATGACATTTATAACATTTTCCCATATTCACTGAGGAAACATGTCTTAGAACTATTTTGATACAATGCTAAGATTTCTGAACAAGCAGTTTTCTAGAACATAAGATAGTATCTATAGTTGAATAACACTAGGTTGAAGTTTAATTGAAGTTTACACAATAGTAAAACTACCATTATCTAAAATACCTAGATAATATTTTCAGATTATCATCAAGCTATTGAATCAAAAATACAGTTTTAAAGTATTGTCAAAATGTATTGCAGGAATTACTAAGTGCAACTAAGTCATGGTAAAAGAGTAAACAACAGTGGTAGACTTTCTCTTTACGTTATAAAATACTTCTTAAAAGCAATAAAATTCAATGGAAAACAATATGTGTAACAGAGAGCATATACCTGCAGTCTGTATTTAAAGGTTTTTTCAAGACTGAAATTGGGTCAACATTACTGTAAATAAATTAGTGGTACTGCTAAACATTATGTAAGCTAAAAAAATTTTCAGCTCATCTTATAGTCAACTCTTACATTTACATGTAGCTAAAAAATGTCAATTATACCCCTACAGTACCCATAGTACCAGTGTTTAAGCATATCTGTGACAGTTTCTTTAAAAAAATAAAAATAAACAAGCAGATAACTAACAATTTCTCGCTTAAGTTTCCTACATTCTCAGAATTTTTTATTCAACTTTCAGGACTCTTTTAGCAACCAGAAGTACCTTCGTCGATGGAGCCCAGAAAGCAAGCTGGCTATAAATGTTAACTGTCCTGTTGAAGTAAAAAGAAACCATCTCCACAATTACTGAAAATGCTTATAAGATTTAATTCTCCAAGGTGGCCACAGCAAATTTACCGACAATCATGTTCACCAAAACATGTTTATACACACACACTTCCCTGATTACGACTGTAATTGGGAGATTAATGAGGCCTGTATCGGAAGAGAACTATGTTCAAATTAAATGACTGCAAAGTGCTCTGAGGACGAGGGAGATTAATTAAAGACGGTTAAACACGGTTCTAAGCTAATGTAAACAGGGCCCAAGACCCCCGGTCCCAGGTGAAACAGGCATCGCAGGCTCGCTGCGTTTCTATCCGTCTCAAGACAACCCAGATCATGAGGTCTTACCTTCCAACAGCTCCATTAAATAATCAGGAACGTGCGCTCGCACTTTGCAGCACGTAACGCTCTACGAGACGAGACGCAGCATACATCCACTGCCACACTCTGCCCTCACACTCCCTGCCCCGTGGCCTGCATCTCGGTTGGGCTCACCCTCTTTCCATTCCATCCACTTACCAAGAAGCACAGCTGTGGCCAGTTGTGGATAAAATATCTATACGTATAAATGGAGTAAGGTTCAGACAGATCTTTGGTGATCAGTCTCATGATATCGGGCATTTGGAGCTCGGATTCGTATCGGACGTATCGTATCGTCCGATCCTCCCCGGGCTCGACCTCCCTGCCCGAGGGGCTCCTCAAGCTGCAGCCGGCGCTCAGGGACGAAGACAGCAACCGCACCTGCTCGTCCTCGTCCTCCTGCTCCGTGCCCTCGGCCAGTCCGTTGCGGGCCGCCGCGGGGTCGCTCGCCGCCGCCGGGCTGGGAAGCGCAGTTCTCGCATGGGGGGGCGGCGGGTGAGCGGGTCTGTCGCCCGCACGCGCCCCGGGCCCAGTCGAGGCAGTCGCTGGGGGGGGCCCATCGGGAGTGGCCGTGGCGCCGGCCGCCTCGGCTGCAGCCAGCACCTTGCTCTTGCGGGAGGCGGCCGCCCGGAGGTGTCGCAGGTCCGGGCCGAGCAATCCGTTGAGCTGCGGCGGGTCCTGCGGCGGTGGCGGCGGGCAGAGGGGGCACGGACGCCCCCGGGTCGCCGCCGGGCCCGGGCCGCCTTCGCGCTCCTCGTCGTCGTCCTCGTCCTCGCCACAGCAGGCGGGGGCGGCCCCCGCCGGGAACGGGCAGCGGGGCTCGGCCGCCGCCGGGGCCGGAGGTGCGGGTGGAGGGAGGAGGCTGCTAGGCCCGGGCGGTACCTCCGCCATCCTACAAGCGACACACACCGACAGAGGAGCCGTGAGCGCCGGCGCGGGGCCCGGGCCGGCGGGGAAACAAAGGCAGAAGCCGCCCCTCGCGGAGCAGCCCCCCGAGTCCGCGCCGGGCCCCCGCTAGTCAGCACCGCCCCTCCGGCCCCGGTTCCCGTCCGCCCGGGCCCACCGCCGGCCCTGTCACCCGCGGCCCTCCCGGCCCTCCTCCGGCTCACCCCGCGCCGGTCCCGCCGCCGCTGCCGCCGCTGCCGCCGCTCCGCTCCCTCAGCCGCCCCCGCCGCCGCCTAGGCACTCACCCCGCACCGCCGTCGCCGCCGTAAAACGCCGAGCTGTTACCCCGGGTAAAGTTTCCTGGGCCCGCCTTTACGACACTTCCCTGCCTGCCGGCCGGCGGGCGAAGGAAGGGGCGGGGTTGCAGGTGTCGCCGGGAGGCGCGTGCTCGCGGAGCGCTGTGGGCGGGGCCACCCTCGGCAGTTTGGGGCTCACGGGGCCGCGCGGGCCAGGTACTTCTCGGGGTCTGGGAGAGGTGGCGCGGACTTGGGAGCCCCTAGAGCTGTGAGAATAGGTGGATGACTGTGGACACCCGAGCGCTCATGAGGAGAGTGAGCCCCTTTCCATTGGCGAGACCCAGACCAGGTAGTCCGCTTCCTCTCAGCGCCCCCCCCCCGAACGAGGAGGTGACTGTGACCCGTAGGTGCGCGGCGACCCTCCCGCGGAGCGCTGGGGCGGGTCCGCGCGAGGCTGGGCCCCTTCTGCGGGTCCACAATTAAGGATCTCTGGCAGGTCTGAATTAAGCGGCAACGAGGTGGTGTAACTCACCAGCCCACTGAGCAAATTCAGTTTTTAAAAAACTGATTTGTAGGACTGGTCTTGTGTGCCCAAGATGAAAGTTTCCACGAATATAATTCTATTGCTGAACATGTTTGCAGTTTTTTGCCATAATCTAAACTCTGAAAAAAAAAGTGGGATATACTGGCACGTTAGTAACATGGAAGAGTTAGAGCCCTTGTCACTAAAGATTTTAAGGAAAACTTACCACCTTTCAGAGAGAGAGTCAGCGTATAGGGATGATAATAATTTGTTACTGTGTGCCTGGCACCGTTCTGATTGTCTTATATGTATTTATTAGCTCGTTTACAAGTTTTTGTCCTGTTGAAATATTGACATGTATGTACAAATAAGCATATAGAAGCTTGTTTGTTTCAACTTTGTCTGTAATAGGAACAGATAACTCAAACTAAGTGACTATACAGGAATGACTAAACTTGTGCATAAATATTATGGAATATTACTGTTAATTCTGCTAGTGTGTAGAAAAGATTGAAATGGAGATAATTGTATATACACTTCCAGTTTCTATGGTTGCTTCACAAATTGCTGTAGTTTGGCAGTAGAAAACAATCATTCTGCTCACGGATTCTTTAAGTCAGGAAGTCACAGCAAGATGGCTTTTCTGTGCACAATTTTACTCGTAGTGTCATTTGGGAGATTCAAAGATTGAGAATTAAAATTATCTGAAAATTCACTCAGGCTAGTAGTTAATGCTGGATAGAAGTTGGAGGCCTCAGTTCTGTTCCTTGTAGACCCCAGTATGTGGTCTTATAGTATGGTTTAGTTTGGGCTTTCTTGCAACTGCCTGGCTGGCTTCTTAAGACAAGCGTACAGAGAGCCAGGCAGAAACTTACCACCTTTTCAGACAGCCTTAGAAGTCACTTCTGCTGCATTGTATGTATCCCAGCAGTCAGAGTTGCACCCAAGTTCTAAGGGATGGGGGAGTGCTACCTCTTGATAGGGAGAGGTTCTCTAAAACCAGGTGGAACCAAAAGCTTTGCAGTGGCCATTTTTGGAAAATACAACGTTCCATGAACATTTACATTGGAAAACCTCCTGTAGGTTTTCTGTAGCAGTTTACCTGCAGTGGAGGGGAAGAATAAACAAGATGTGTAAGTACAGTGTGATCTCATTATGTTCTTTAAAAAACACAGAACAAAACTGTATTTCCAAACACTCATACAGTGTTTAAAGCTACATGTTTTTCAAAGTACATAGTTTATAAGTGTTACCTGGATGTTCAGCCAAACAACAATCTGTTCAAATCATGGAGGGAAACTACCCAAATGGCCCCCGTGGAATTTTTAAAGAAATGTTTAACAGTAATTTTTATTTAGAAAAATTTGAGTCATTCACTTTGGAATATAACCCCTTCCAAAAAACCACATGACTCCATTATAGCGAAAGTGGCAGCTAGTCTTCATGTTCTTTTTTATAACTTGGCATTGAGCTTGCTTAACTGGATGTTATCTCAAAGTTATTTTCAGAAGGTTAGAATTTTGAAGATCCCTTTATGGTCTGGGACTGAGTGTTACTTTGATTCCCATCTCTAACACACAAAAGGAGACTTGTTAAATTTTTAAATATTCATTCAACAGTCTAGAATCCTTACAATGACAAAGTAAAATCTGGTCTTCTTGATAATAAGCTGGTAAGATTTCTGATATCCATGCTCCAGTGACCACATATTCTACTTAAAATCCCAGTGATGGTCTTCTAAATCAGACGACCTCTCTAAGAAATATTTTTTCATACTTATGAAATCTTTCCTTTTTTAGTTCATGTTTTCTTATGATGATAGCATTATTTTGGGTACAGAAGTAGGATTAGTTCAGTGCAATGCTTTAGGCATATTTGCCTATTATGAAGCTCTAAAAAGGCAGCTACTTCCATGAGCAATGACTTACAGGAAAAGAACTGGTCCCAGAGCAGGGGAAGTGGAACCAGTGATAATCTTCTCTCTGGGTAATTGATATTTTCATTGCTTCATAATATTCTAAGATGCAGTGGTCATTTTTTTACTGTTGTTCTCTTTTGAATAAAAAAAGGCATCGTAATTTTTTTAGGAGGAAAAAAATCTTTGTTAAATCAATTAAAATGACTGATAGCAATTTCAGAACAACATTGTAAAGCTAACTCCTGAAATTAGTCTGGAGGGAGAAAATTTCTTTCCTACTGTCTAACAAGACATTTTTCTCTTATTGGCTAGATTTAGAGAAGGAAACCTAGCTATGTACCTACCTATAAGGTAACTGTGGGAATGAAGACATTATTAATGAAAAGGTACTTTAAGTTCCCTTGACTCAGCAGGATGACATTATATGCCATAGGCACAAATGCTGAATAATCTAAACATTTGTGTAATTTTATTGTACACATCATGTTCTTCATCCTACTAATCCTATCTGTTATACATAAAGCCAAGAATGTATATATCCTTAACTTTGTTTCATTCTAGATGAAAGGAAGGGCATATATCAAAATTGAAGGCTATAGAATTCAATCAAAGGATGAATGTTAGTATATTGTTTTACTGCCTGTACTACCTGTAATACTCAGAGATTCCCATGTAAAGTGCTTTAATTAACAACTTTATTCTTCCCTTTGTATTTGAGACATGACAGTCTGTTCTTTAGCCCTATCTCCCTTTGAGAGCACTGACTGGCAGTCACAATTGTAGGCACAGATTTTGTCTGTAGAACAGAGGTGTCGAGCCCCAGAGAGGGTTGTGGTCAAATGGTCTCCATTTTCATTACTTTCAGCCTCATACTAATTTTGCATGACCTGCCCAAAGACTTGGCCTGCTAGTTCTCATACATACACTGAGGCTGGTAAGAAGTGCTGGAGCAAATCATGTATTTCTTCATACTGAAGCTGTTTAGACTTCTTGGTCTCCACTTTAGCCATGTTTGCAGATATCAGGCCAACTTTGTCCAACAACCACAATCCTTGACCTCTACTTGCTTCATGTTGTCTTCACCACGTGATTCTGCCAGTGTCTTAATGAGAAAGGGAGCTGTCTGTAGGTGTACTTCTACACTTTCCACCCCACCCAGAAATTCACCTGCATCGGAACTCAACCCCTCCCGCAGGTTTAGACCGGGAGATAGCCCATCCAGTACTTGATGCCTCTCTCTGCCTGTGTTCTTGATGCCATCTTTAGTCTTTTGGGGACCTAGCCCATCTTTGTTTCTTCCTCCTGAATTTCCCATGTTACTTTTGCTAGTCACTGCTTCTCAGTTTAAAAACATGCTCTGTCTGGAGACTTCCTGTACCATCCTGTTCCTTATTCCTCTCCATCACAAATTGCCGATCTAATCTGCAGTAAGTATCCACTGTCTCAACCCAGATGCAGGCTCACCCTCCAACCAATGGGTTAGCCTCTCAGCCTTTCCTTTAACAATGCTTTGGCAAAAGTCACCTGTTATGTCCCAAAAGCTAGATCCTTTGGGTTCCTTAGCACACATGCCACTTTATTCCTCTGTGACATTTCTTCCTGCCATGCTCTTCTGCTGACTCTTTCCTTGGTGCATTAGTCAACTTTCTGGTATTGACTGCCATTCAAAACTTCAACTTAAAATTTTCAGTTTGATTGATTAGTTTATTTGTGAGTGAAAACTGAACTGAACGGCTTACAGTTCCCAGAATGTGCCAGATAGTTTCTGACCTCTATATTCAAGCTCATTATTATACAGATACTTCTAATTCACTCCCTCTTTCTCCTCTCTTGCTTTGCCTCTCTCTGTCTTTGGTGCACAAACACACCCCTTTCCCATTACTACTTGAAAAGCTGACTTCTCCCTGCTCTGAGTGCTTTGAACTTCTGTGGCTATACTTCTTTATGGCCCTGTGTTGCTTATCTGTGCTTCTTTTAGAAGAGAATACTTAAGAGTGGGAATTATGTTTTATTCTTCATTGTACTGCTATATGCTTAATAAATTACTTTAAAGGCATGAATGCAAGATTGACCTTGCTGTATACTTTGTCATATTATAGATTTCTCAGTATAAAGCCTTTAACTGAGTTTAATTGTATAGAACTTCTCTTATCGCATACATACTCTTTTTTTTCCCTGAAAATAAGACCTAACTGGAAAATAATCAGTCTTGAAAACTAGAGATCAAAAATGCCAGCCCAAACCGGGCATAGTGGCACATACCTGTAATCCCAGCACTCGGGAGGTTGAACCAGGAGGATTGCTGCAAGTTCAGGGCCACCCTGGGCTATATGGTGAGACTCTGTCTCAAAAAACAAAACCAAAATACCAGGCCGAATCAGCCTGTCCTTGCCTTATAGAGTAGCCACCAAGCGAGAGAATGGTGATGGCAGGTAAGGCAAGGAAAGGCTGATTGAGGCTGGCATTTTTGATCTCTAGTTTTCGAGGCTGATTATTTTCCACTTAGGTCTTATTTTCTGGGAACCACAGTGGTCTACTTGGGGCTAAAATAATTTTCCTTAAAGTAATGACTTATAGATGAATTTTTATTATTAAAACGAATACTTTGAGGCAACGTGTTCAGGTAACAACAGTGTATATTTGCATGATTGACTGAATTATTTTGGCCTTCATAGGCCAACACAGCATTCGTGAAACGTTTTAATGAGGGGATGTTGTTCATGGGTACTGACTTTGTGAAACTAGGAAAAATAAATGACTTTGTAGATATTGTTTGAATGTTACATTAAAATACAAGTTATTTACAAAATACTTGTTTGCTTTCATCACTTTTTTCTGCGTGAGAAAATATAGAACCAACCAAGATATTAAAAAACTAGCTTTAGAAAGGACAAAAAAAATAAGGTCA